CCGCCCGAAGCCTCCGTGGAGACCTTGGAGACCTTGGGCGATGTGCCAGTTGCAGCCTGACTGCTCGGGCTCTTAAGTCCCACAACAGCTGGAGGTTTGCTTCCCCCTCACCACCTCTCACTGCAAGGGCCGTCCCTCTTGGCGGCGGCAACTCCAAAAGCCCTTTGTATTTTCTCCCATGCACATTCTGCGCAAAGCTGTCGTGATACCAGAAATGCATAAAAAGCGGCAGCGCCTCCCGTATGAGAGTTGCAACTTGGCCACACGCTGGAACAGGACTCATCCACTGATCATGCTGCATCGAACCCGGAGCACACACAAAGACATGCAACTGGTTCTGGCTGCCAAGGAAGCTTGCCTGGTACATCAGAAACATCTCAGGCCAATCTGATCTGCCAAGTCGAAGCTCCCAGAAGGCGCCGCCCATCGATTCCACACAATCTTGCCAGGCTACAACTGCCTGTCTGTACATGTCGGAATACGTAGACCTGCTAAATCCGGCGGCAGTGACAAACGCTCTGGCAAGCATTGGCAGCTTTTCTGACACCCCTGTCGCGCAGATTTGAGTATGATTCCCTCGTCGGCGGGGCAAGTAGTCAGGGATCAAGCAAGCCACATCAAGGGCTGAATGGCATGTTCGGCCCAAAGCTGTCAGATAAATACTTGTGCAGGCCGTAATGCCAGAGGTACCTCCGCAAACTTTGCAAATCTTCCCACAGCAGAACTCTCCGGCTCGCTTGCCACGGCTGCACCACTCGCGCTGCCACATCTATCGGGCCCTGGCGGTCCCTCATGCCCCTGTTGCATCTGCCTTCCCAAGTCAACCTAGTGTATGCTTACACCATCCAGAACAACTATTGGCAAAGGCCGCATCTTTTCAAACGTCAAAGCAAGCCGAGATGGCAGCGAGAACACAACCTTCAAGTGCTGATTGGTGATGAGTACTGACCCTGCCAGCGCAGCGCTCGCCTGGTGAATGAAAGACAGGAAAGCTGTGCTGGCGAAGATGGCAGCATGCCACCTTAGCGTCGCCAGGCAAGCTGATCTTCCAAAGCCTGTGTACCTTCTGCTGCTTGCACGTTTATGCCTACAAATCAAATGCAGCCGCAAAAAAAGGCCTTTGGTCTGCGGGAATGCATGCAGGAGCGCATTCTTCATGTGCAATTGAAGCTTGTGATTTGCTGCAGACTTCCGGAATGGCACATCAAACTTCAGCCAACGCCAAGCAGAGTGTCTGTAGCCATGAACGATACCCTGAGGTCGCATTGTGATCTCTGCGAAACTCTGGCCCTCAAATGCTTGATGTGCAACTGAAAATGCCGCTGAGCATCACCCTGCCCAATCCTTAGTTGGCAATTTCCAAGCAGCGAGAACATGGTGAGCAGCACGGCTACGTGACCATGATTAAGACATGCTGAGGCTACCCCTGAGTCTGACAACCTACAACAATGACTCCCATCACCACCACCACCACCGCCTCCGAAACCACGACCACGTCCACGCCAACGACGACCACCACCATGACCAGAACGACAGAGCAAGCCGCTATTGCTAGAGCCGCTGCCATGTGGCGGAAAGCTGCCAATGCGGGCACCAAGAAAAGAAGTCCAGCAAACATCGCCAGTGGCGTGAAAGCCACTCCGCCCTTGGCTCTTGGGTGGCACCAAGGCATGTTGAAGAGCCAATCATTCACAACACCCAGGCCTCTGCCTGTTCCAACAGGAGGAGGGCCGAAGTAGAATCATCCGGCCGGAGGACTACACTGGTCAGCCTGCACTGACGGTGCTGCGGTACCATTGTCTTTCAAGGATACTACGTCCTGGATTCCTGGCAGTTGTTTTGCGCAGCCCAGGCTAGTACATTTCTCCGATTGTAAAAACACCCTTGCTGGCAAGAACTTAACTCATCCTTGTCTGAACGGGTAGTACTTCTGAAGCACCGAGGCTGTAGGCGCAGTGGGTAAGTCGTGCTTACACCCCAAACCATTTACAAGCTGTGATGGCCATGGATGGCCCAATCAAGGAAGACATGTGTGTGATTCACACCCTTTCGGGGTGTCCCATTTTCCAAGTTGTTTAGGCTGGCTCCCAAGTTGAGCACCAAATTTTGAAGATCGAATCGGCCAGGGACATAGCCAAGGCTGAGAAAAGCAAACAGTAGGGAGCCTGGTATGCAAGCAAGCAGTACATCATGTTGGACCGAAGCTTGACCGCTAACTAGAAAAAAAAGAGTTCAGCAAGCATTTGAGTTAGCATGCAGCATGCGGCCGTCACATGGTGTTACCCCGGCTTGGTCCTGCGGGACAATTCCGACGTCCTGAGGTTGGTAAGGGCTGTTTGTGCCGGCCGATACACCTGTCCCACAAGAAGTGCAACCAATCCTTTGGGCATTTACAAGTTGAGAAGGTCACACCCTGTGGCGTTTATACTTGTTCTTTCGGAGGCAGGTGTATAACCAGAATAAGAAACAAGAAAATGGAACCATAAAAAGAAACGCAAGATCCACGACAAGCAAGCCTACAAACGCGCGTGATGAACGGCAAATTTTATAGATGCTCGCTGTTTGTGAAGTTTTACCATACTGACTGACTTAAAGTCAGGGCAGTACCTGGTGGCAGCCCCAGAATCGAATCGGTTTAATCATTTCCCTCGAATACTAGACCCCCCTTAATACGGGTTTGAGAGAATTCCAAATTCTGAAATCTGCCCTTTATAAGGCCCTAATTGGGAATAGTTCCTAATAAGGCCTTAGTTTAGAATAGTCCTTAAGGAAACCCTAATTTGGAGTAGTCCTGAATAATTAGCCCTAATTTGAAATAGTACCTCACAAGGCCCTAATTTGTAGTAGTCCGTGATAAGCCCTAATTTGGAATAGTCCCTAATCAGGCTCTAGTTTGGAATTGTCCCTAATAAGGCTGTAGTTTGGAACAGTCCCCAAAAAAGCCTTAATTTGAAATAGTCCCTAGTAGTGACTCCCTCGCAGGTTGCTGCCTTTTTAATGAGAGAGACCCCTTGATAAGTGATTCCCCGGTGGGGTGGTGAGAGTCTCCATTTTCAAGTTTTTGGGATTCGAAAACTCCAAAACGGTGACTCCCTCGCAAGCTGCTGCGTTTTAATGAACGAGGCCCTCCAATGAAGTGATTCCCAGAGCGGGGCTGGGAGTCTCCATTTTGTTGCTTTTGGGCCTCGAAAACTCCAAAACGGTGACTCCCTCGCAGGTTGCTGCCTTTCTGGGAGTCTCCATTTTGAAGCTGCTGGGCCTCTAAAACTCCAAAACGGTGACTCCCTCACAAGTCGCTGCCTTTTTATGAAAGATTCTCCTCAATAAGGTGATTCCCGCTATGGGGCTGGGAGTCTCCATTTTGTAGCTTGTGGGCTTCGAAAACTCCAAACGGAGACTCCTTCGCAGGTTGCTGCCTTTTTGATCAGAGAGTTCCCCCAATCAGGTAATTCCCGCTATGGGGCTGGGAATCTCCATTTTGTAGCTTTTGGGCTTCGAAAACTCCACATGGAGACTGCTTCGCAGGTTGCTGCCTTTTTAATCAGAGAGTTCCTCCCAATAAGGTGATTCCCGCTATGGGGCGGGAATCTCCATTTTGAAGCTTTTGGGCTTCGAAAACTCCAAAACAGTGACTCCTTCGCACATGACTGCCTTTGCAATTAGAGCGTCCCCGCAATAAGGTGAGTCCATTTTGATGTTTTTGGGCCTCGAAAACTCCAGAACGGTGACTCCCTCGCCTTTTGGGCCTCCATTTCTAAGCTTTGGGGCTTGGAAAACTCCAAAGCGGTGACTCCTTCACAGGTTGGTGCCTTTTTAACGGGGAATACGACAATCCAAGAAATTAAAAAATAATAATGTCAAAGCCGACAAATCCGAATGGCTGTGGAATCTGTTGCGGTATCTTTTGTGATATTAGCCTATGATACTCCCCTATGTAATCCCCCTTCAAGGGGTTCAGACTCTGGCTCATATCTGAAAACATCACAAGACAGCTCTAGACAGCTCTGAAACGCTGGTCATGCTTGTCAGTCATGACAGTACCATGCAACAACACCACTTCAGAGCACTATTGTGGCCAGAGGAGCCGTTGAAAAAATAGGTGTATAAATTCAATTGAAAAAATAAAGCTTCCGCTTCCGCGGACCTTCCGCCAAACTTCCGCGAAGACTACTGGCAGGTTTTCCGACGCCATGCTTCCGCGGGCTCTTCCGCGGATGTTTTCGTCGCAGGTGCTTCCGCGGCACTTCCGCGAAAGGGATTTCTAATCTTTTCGGTGTTATATCCCTCCAAAACCCGGGCGTACCTTCAGCGCGAACCAATTCAAAATGGAGAGTTTGTTCTGGCATTAGAGGGTTGAAGCCAAAGACGGTCACCCGGTAGCGTATTCGAAGGGGGGGAGTGGGGCTGGTTGTAGAGGGTTCAAGCCAGAGGCGATCAGAGGTTGTGACCTTATCCATGTTCCTGGAATCCTTTTACTGTTCCAGAAACCTTGTTATGGTTACCACCCTGTCTTGTTCTCTTTTGACTCCTTTGCAACTACCCATCCGAAAGTCTCCTGTCTCTTGCGAAACCACTGGCAACCCAGTCCCAGGCCCTACTTGACTCTTGAAGGATTAGATGCCCGGCCTTGTTGATTCAGGAATCATTGCCGCAAGAATATGAACACTGACTTTTCCAGCTGGCTGTGCAAGCTCAACTCTCTGTGAAGTCTGTTTCGGCTATGAGCTGTCTCACCCTCTGCCAGCTAGAAAAAGTTCAGAAGGACCAGAATTTAGCAAGCTGCTGCCCTGAGGTTCTCAGGGCTCTGAGCCTTCAGCGAACAACGGTAGGACAAATAATCACGCCCACAGAGATGCAAAAAAATCAAGCGGTCACCTTTCTGCAGCTTTGGATTCCCATGGCAACCTACTTAGTTAATTTCCAGCTGTCTTGAATTCTATAGCAGGTGGACGTCAATCCATGTCTAATCCATGCGAGTCAACAAGCGAGTCGGGCAACACCTGGATGGACTAAAGACTTCCTGAAAGGGCTCATGAAACGGCTCTGCTAGCATAGATCAGGAAGGAGAAAGAGGCAACAAGTGCAGACATCTTTGCATGTGGTCAAATGTCTGCAAAACTCTCATCCAGGGACGAGCTCTCTTTGTTGGCCACACATGCAATTTAAGCTGTAGCTTGTAGCCAAGCTGCATGAACTTTTGCCTCACCTCTCCGATCAGCCAGTCAAAGGACTGTTTGGATAGCTTCTCCTGCAGACAAGACTTCAAGCACCCAAAGCGGCATATGTTCATGGGATTCATCATCAAAAAAGATTGAAAGGGCCCCAGGACAGTGGCATTTTGCCTCATCTTTGCAGTGTCTCACACGCTCTTTGAGCATAGGGCCTTAAAGTCTTGGACAACCCTGAACCATCTTAAAAGCGTCAGTGGTCTGCGCATCAGTTCTTTGGCGTAAAAGTAATGCTTGCATGCCTGGAAGAAGCGCGGCAAGCTTGCACTTGAATCCTCGCCTTCTCCAAGATCTTCCGCGAGGCCAGCGCGCAGCGGAGATGTGCATTGAGGACGATCTGAATACGTCAAAGAATGCTTTGGACTAGCATGTACAGAACAGAAGCTTCACAATGAAACACGCTGCAAACAGGGATCCCATGAAAGAGCAACTTCGATCAAAAGGCGTAATCTGAGCAGAATCTGCCCAATGAGACCCTGCAAGAAATCGGCAAGGTAAACAAGCTGAATTCCTTCTTGGAGCATTACTTGACCTGTTAAGTTATATCATCACTTGAGATTTCTCAGGAAGGATCTCAAATTCCTGCGGCATCATGTTGCTCGCAACTTGCAGCGCCTTGGCGTTATCCTCCACTTCGCGGCCGATTGTATCCCCCTCTGCGATCGCGCGAGTCACCTAGAAAAGTCCAGAATTCTACCATCAGCTGCCACTGGTGCCAGCATGTCGGTGGGATATGGTGGAATCCTAGACAGCAGCATCCCACGACCGGAGGACCGGTTACGCTTGGTTCCAGAAGCAAGCATGCTTCTCATCACGGAATGGAACTCTTCAGCCAACCCAGGCTTCCGCGCGACTTGGAACACGCAAAACTGCAAGGGTGGACTATCTATCACATTCAGCAGGGTCGACTTCCCAAAGCTGCGGACCTCTAGCTGCTTGAGCATGGTCTCGACCTTGCTGATGATCTCCATGGGTGTGTACCTCCACTGCTCACTGATGGAAAGGACACTGAACGCCCGGCCCAGAAGAGTAACTCTGCGCTGAGGACTCCTTTCAACCAACCCGNNCCCCCCCCCCCCCCCCCCCACATTCCCGACCATTTTCAGCGTTGCAGACGGCGAATTCACCCTCCGATCGGGTCTCTCACCCGAGTCAGCGGCTGAAGCATGTCTATGGCCAAAAGTGCTGTGGTCTAAACATGTCTGAACTGTATGCGTGCACCCTTACGCAGCACCCTACTCCCAATCCTTCACTGACAGTATAGTCCACGTTAAAAGTCACAGGTGTAAAGAGCGTGATCTACGCTAGGCTCTCTAGGCGATGCACGAGACGGTCATGCGAGCGCAAGCCACCTCATAGGCCGGAACATTATAGCCAGCACGCCTGGGAGAACTTAGCCTGCATTGAGGCATGGATGTCGCCGGTAAGAAACAAAAACAACAGCGGCAAACAATACATCATACAAGTATTATCTTCCAAAGCGTCGGCTGACAGCCATGCCTGCACAAAATGTTACAACGGTATCAAGGACGTTGCTTTTTGAAACACTGAACTATTGCTACAAAGTGCGTAAGTTGCACAAGCATGACGACTGTCATGGTTGTCGTACAGCTGCACGTTGCTGCACATGATCTACCTGAATGAGACTGGCTGCGGGATCGTCTCAACCGAATCAGAAAATCTGACGCGACGATGCTGAGCCGCATCCACACCCACATCGCCATTGCCAGGGTCCAGTGTACGCCGATCTGGTATCCTGCATGACCCCATGCCGCCAGACCGTGCGTAGCAAGCTACATTTTTCTGAGAGTCATGCTGACCATCCCTGTCAGCATTTTGGAGCTTCATCTGCAACATGTCATGCTTGAGCGCATCCCGCTGTGCAGATGTCATAGCTCCAATCGCATCTGCTGTGGCTGTGCATGCCAAGGCCAGCTGCGTGTGGTTGAAGAACGAGTTGGCGACCACGTTTGATGCATGATCAGAGTAGATGAAGTCGCAGGCAGACACGACGTAGAGGGCACTGCTGTCCAATCGGCCTACGGCCACCCCAATCACGGGTTGGTGCAGGGACTGCAAGGTCAACACCAGTTCTTCAACCTCCGGCAGCAGAATCCCGCAGGATCCAACCACCCAAACAAAGAGCGATGATACGGCTGACTCAGGATCTTCAAGGCTTGCAACCTTCTTGTGGATTTCCTTTGCAGCCTGGATGTCAGTGAAGCCATCAAGCACAATGGCCTCCATGTGCTTAGCGCAGAGCAAAAGAATTGAAAATGACCCAGTATTTGAGCCAAAAACCTGCATACTGAAGCAGAAGGGCTTCCAGCTTCTTGTGAGAGGTGTTGCTGCGAGAGAAGCCATGGATGGGGGAGTCAGCATAGTCAGCGCAGGCCTCTCCGGCGCCTCGGTGCCATCCTCTTCCGTGATGCGACTGCGGGCCCTGTCGAGTAGCCTCAAAACATAGCTCCGAACGGCAGGGCAGATTTTGGCGGACTACTTATGAAGTCATATTAGAGGACATCCAAGGCCTGGCGATGTTGATCGGGATGTGCTGCTTGGTTTCGCCGTCTGGGTACACCTTCCATTGCTGCTATCAGGGGCTCTTCCCGCAAAACCTAGTGACCAAGTGCAGCGGCGCTGTTGCACACCACCTCAAGCTACAGCCCAGCATGCCAGCCGCCATATGTTCAGGCCCAACACACTTGAACCAGAACACGTGCTACGCTGCTAATTCGAACTCCTGTGCCTGACTGCAGATCTCCTGCTTGATCTTCTTCAGACGGTCCCACCTAAACTTCAGGGTGAGCTCGTTTCCAGGGCTACTGTGTCATCCCTAGATTGTCTGAGGACTGACACCAACGTCTGAACTTCGATAGGAAGAAAGCTGCAGAGGCTTGTCTGCGAGTCTAGGGCCCAGGCTCGTCATCCAGAAGCTGCTGGTGCTCATGGTTGGCCTGCACGGCATGGCATATTGAGCAAGGCAGAACATGCTTTGCATGGCCGACATGTGCCAGTGCTAGGGGTGCTGGAGTCATCCTCTTGGACAAAGATGAAGATCGGGGGCCTTGATCTCGTCCAGGACGTCTGTCGGAAGCCACCCCAGCCCGTAGTCTGGCTCAGAGTACTTGTGCCTTGCAAACTCAAAGATCAACCGAACTAAGGGACTACAGAGCATGGGTCTATATGGGGCGTGGAAAGTTGGAGCTGGCAGTCCAAAGCCTACGCTTTGCAAGCTGATGCCTAGAACGTGAAGAGATTGCCGGGGCATCCCGGCTGAAAGGTGTTCTCAAGCTTCCGGTTGTCGTAGGTCATGATCTCCAGCGTCTGATCCTGCAAAAAAAGTTCTTGGAAATGGCTTCGGCACTAGCCGCGAAGGAAACTCCAGCCTGCCCCCTACCCAGATCTGCAGCAGAGAATCCATGCAGCACGAAACCCTGCGAGCAAATCATCCTGGCAACGGAAGAAGAGCCTATTCGTTCGGGCAGCACCCGCTTAGGCACTCTTCGGACACGGTTGAGAAGCAGCCGCAGCTGCGATTGCGAACCCAGAAAGCTCCTCGATCCACAGTCCATCCATGCCATCCTCTCCATAAATGAACTGGATGATATCCTAGGTCTGGGCAGGCGTATGGCAAGTTCCATTTACTTGACTCAGCTTGGGCAGTTTGGGCTTTGTACTTGTGGACAAGGCCAACATTGCATGCGCAGTTATGGACTACAGACAGCTCCGGGGGTCCAACGTTGCATGCATTCCGAGCCGTGCCATCGTAGGCCACCCTGTCTGAGCGAACACATCACCACGCACACACGAATCCTGGAATCAATCCCTCGTAGGAACTGCGCACATTAGGTCACACCATTGTCCCTGCAGTGCTTGTCAACTGCTGGTTGAAGACGGAGGCTATGCTCAGGATGCCGGCTTCAGAGTCTCCATGGACTTCACCAAGCGGCGCTGGATGTACCTTTGCGAACTGCCATGATGGTCAGATCTTTGCCGGCTTTGCTGGTTGAACATCATGCAGATGGCAGGGGTAGGTAGGTGGGCTGTCAAGCGTACAGCCTCAGAGCCAATTTGAGCAATCTAGCGTTCACTAGCATTCATGAGTCAGCCATGCAAAAACCTCTGTGGCCTGAGAGCAGAAACAATTCGTTCCCTGGAGCCTCTTGAGCCACAGGAGGATATGGTGGCATGGCAGGGCACCCCGTCTCTGAGGTTTTGCAGGCCGTGTCGATGACTCCTTCGCGGCCTCCCATGGCGTGCATCCAGACCTGGCAGAGAAACTGTAGAATCGCCAAGCAAAGAACAACCACATTAGGGAGCAGAATGCATAGCCATGCAGAAAATCAATAGACCTCTTGAGACTCTGGACACGACAAGCGGATGTCATTTGGCACTCCCCGCATTGGCCTCCTGGGGCGTAAGGCCGGCTAGGTAGGAGTTCTCCACGAAGCCTCGTGCCTCCGCACCATAGTCATCCTTGCAGGAGCGGTGCACACGAAGCTTCACACAAGTCGCGAAGTGCACAGCGGAAACCAGCATTCTGAAAGCTTCACAAAGCACTATCCTTCGTGAAATGGGGCAGCGTTCGCTCATTGAAGCCGTACCTGTCGTCATTGGATATTCGTGTTGGCACCTCCCTGTGAGTCAAGCGCGAAGGAAGTCTGTCCTTGCCACCCACAAGCTAAGCTGTTATGTGATAAGCAGGCACACACACACACACACCTCTAACAAAAGGGAGAGCAGTACTTCGTCAAAGGTTTGATTTTCTGAAAAAATAGCCAATCAACACCCAAAACAACTTATGACCGTGCAGGAACGCAACCTTATTTCTCGATACCTGGCAAGCCCAGCCCATCTGTGCCTGATACGGGCACCTTCCACGTTTTGCTGGCCCACACACGCCACAATCTGGGCAATGTTCAGAGGAGACCTGAAGCTTCCTCCACCATTTGTCTCCACAAGTAGAATTAACAGAAGCGAGCAGCGCAGCAGCCCTCAACAGAAGCGAGTAGAGAGATACTGACAGGGCCCCCAGCCCCTTCGAGCCGGCGTTCACCTTGGAGGCTGACATGAAGTGAAATTAGTGCCGCACTCCTTGTAAGGACTGTGCTTACTAGTTAACTGTAAGTAAACGTTGTCAGACAGTGTCTCTCAAGAAGCCTTCGCTTTGTCCTGTCAGGAATCCCCGTGCTCTCCGTGAGTCCACACTTGCAAGTCATTTACGTGCTCGCTCGGGAGTGCTGCCCTCAGAGCGTAGCTTCTGCTACAAGTACCTACACCAGCAGACAACGGGAGACTGCAGACAACCTCTGCAATCCTGTAAGACTCCTTGAGAAACAGGGAATTGACGACGACTGTGGCAATTAGTTGAGGCGCCATGGAGATGATGTTGTTGCGTTCATCCAGCGAACTCGCACCGATGTTGCCGGCATCCTTGCAAGAGCCGTTGCTAAGCTGCTTCCAGCAGCCACGCACGCTGATGTGTCACACGCAGTGATAATGCCACATGAACCCTGCATGTCGCTGGCAAGTTGATAGTCACACTAAATTCTAGCAGTGACTTCCCGGGCCATTTTCAGTCGTCTTAACAACTGTTGAACTGGTTGCAAAATGGCAGGCTTTTTGGCGGCTTTCATATCGCCACCATCTACTATGTGGGTGTAAACTTGTGAAGCTTTGCTTGCTGAGGCCTCGCGGGCAGAGTTCAGCCGCTGGTTCGCCTTTGCCTCGAAAGATTGGTACCTGCCAGGCCACGAAGCCATCAGAGCTCATAGTGCAAAAATTGCACAAATCTCCAACTGACAGAACAAGCATTGGGGGGGTCAGGGTGCATGGTCTTTCCGGGCTGCGTCTCCAGTCTGCCACGCTGAGCGTCTGCCAGAAGGGCTCGGACCTCCTTCTTGGCCTCATCGCCAGGTCAAAACTTCAACAGGGGCTACCAAACCGTGCTGTTCCATGTCAGCTGAAGTGTGGTTGGGTTTGTGCCCTGGCTTTCTGATTTGGGGCTGCGTCTTGCAGCTGCAGGCATCTCTGATCTGGGAAGGACCCGCTTTGCCTGTTTCAGGGTCTTCTCCACGCTAAGCAGCGTTTGGTCGTTGGCAATAATGTCTGCCACGCCGCAAGAGAACCTGGCGATGCCAGTCGAAGCCCACTTCGATGGCAAGAGGTTCTTAAAATCAGCTCCCTTGCTGTACCTTGCATGCCTCCAACAAGCGAAAGCCTTTCGGTCTGCCTGGAAACGCGCAAGCATCCTTTTTAGACCCCGTCTTGGCTGAAGGTGTTGGGTCTGAGATTCTACAAAATTTGAAACGCGCAGGGCTGAATTGGAGTTCAGATTCTGGAGATTGTCTGAGTGCATGGTTGGTCTGGGTTGGTCTGCTAAGGGGGCTTATCCCCACAGTCGGAGGGCGACAGTCAAGGATTCTGATCTGAGATGTTCGGCGTTTGCTGGCAAATGGCTCCAAATTGACTCCAAATCTCTGCCCGAGCTGCTCTCCAACTTCAAAAGGTTTTAATGCTGTGATGAGCGAAACTGGTTAATCACTGGGAGCGCCCACAGTGGGAACATACTCAAAACGGCGCAAAACGATCTAGGCTTTGCACTTCGTGCCTCCTAACTCAGACCACCGTGTAGAGGTCCTTCGTGCCCAATTCAAGCAACGTGGAGAAGGCCTTCGAGAAGTCCTTGAAGAAAACCTTCTGGTCGTCGGCGTAGAGGTCAACATACTTGCTGAAGCTGGGATCCTTCAAAAGCGCGATGTCCGTAGGGAGCATCATGAACTGCTGCGTATCAGAGTTGCGGTACTGAAAATTCTTGCAAGTTTCCCCTTTGATGCAGCCCTCCTCCCACTTGGAATTCTTGAGGAGCTTGAAGTACAAATTGTTGAACGTCGTAGGCGTCGGGGTCCACGGGCCCACAAAGCCCGAGGCATCTGCGTGGCAACGGCCAAGGGCATGAGCTCCGCTGAGGGCGACGATCTCCTGGTCATTGAAACCCATGCGGTAGAAGACATCCCTCAGATGGCCAACGTCCTTCTGGGCGGAGCCGTTGGACGCGTTGGGCAGCCGGCCGTCGGGAGTCACATCACTGGGGCTCATGGAATCAACACGTCCAGCACGCCACGGGACGTCCGGGCCACCCAGCGCCTTGATGGAGGCCACACCAGCGAGGGTGTAGAGGTCAGCATAGCTGATGCTGGGGTTGGACTGCTTCACCGGCTCGAGCCACGCGACTGCCTTGTCGAGTCCCGCGTTGCCACCGTGTGCAAGCTCCTCCTTGAAGCGGATAGTTCCGGGGCCAGAACCTCCAGTCTTTGAGACCTTATCGTAGCTGCCACATGAATGCCAGGCCAGCCGCACCAGTGTCGGTCCCTTGTTTGGGTCAGCCTTGATAATCTGCTCGATGTCTGCCTGGACCTTCTCTGCGGTTTGCTTCGTGAGCTTCTCCGCGGCGTTTGCTGGCTTCGGCCGAGCCACCGCGGCGGCAACGGCGAGGCCGGCGAGCACACCTCCACGCCGGCCGACTGCCGTGGCCTCCCCACGAAGCTCCGCCGCGCGCTGGATCCGCAACCTCGTGCCTTTCGGGCGACCCACAGCGGTAGATCCAGCTGCCAGAGCTGCGATTGCTGCTGCTGTCGGCAACGAAAACTGCTGGTCGGTCCCCGAACGAATGAACGGGGCCCGGCCTGAGCTGGCTGGCACCCTGGGCAGCGCAGGCAGCGCGAACGCAGGACCCGATTCGGCTGCGATAGGGACGAAGGAGACGAAGGCCATCCCTGCGGGGGGTCCCTTCTGGTGGGCAGTTTGGACTCGGACCTTAAAGGCTGAAGCCATCGGCCGTATCACACACTTCATGCCTCTGTCCTTCCCTGAAAACACCATACATGCTTGGCCGAAAGCCGCGCGCTACGCCAAGCAACTAGCTGAAGATGCAAAGCAAATGAGATTGCAAACAGTCAGATGTACCCATTGTGCGTCAGCCACTGGTTCACCATCTTCTGAATGTAGGACAGCACCTTCTGAAGCACACGACTCCCTGCTCTTATCGCGCAACATGACTGGTGCTCGTGACAGAGAAGTGTGCAACTGACTCCGGCCCGCCAAGCATAGGCATCCGAGGCAAGCGCATTTCGGCACCACTCTGGCCCACTGTCCAGCCAAACCTGGGAGTTGAACACAAGAGCACAGCAGGATCCTCAGCAAGAGAACCTTCCGAATCTCGCAAACTTGCATAGTGAGTGCCGGGCGAGATGGAGCAAAGAACCCCCAGAGGAGCCAATCTGCGGCAGAAGATGCGCAAAAGCTGCGATGGCTCAAGAATTTGGCTTCATTGCTAGTGTGGGCCATCAGGAGCAAGTGGATCACAACTTGGCGGGCTGCAGCCCCTCACACTCCACAAAAAAAAACAGACATGCAACTCTGAAGGCGCGCCGTCTTCTTGCAAACGATCCCGCTCAGAAGCTCACCGTTGACGATGAGCACCTGTTGCAGGAAACAGTTCAGATGTTCAGCCGTGACCCTTCAAACAAGAGTGCCTTCATTACGAAAGGGAAGCATGCAGTGTGGAGGGCGAGCTGCTGTGAAACAGGCAGCTAGATGCTAGGGACTGTCATGCCTGCCTAACATACAATTCAATCACAAATTGTCGGCAGGAATGTGACGACAGTTCAGAAACCTTCGCGCCTTGCAATCGCTCGCTGCGAAATCCGGCTCATCCTGGACAGGAGGTCTGAGTGGGATCCGCAGGTATGGCGAGCACCAGGCCAAAACATTCTGGAATTCTGGTCCGTGCTGCAGCTTTTCACGAAGCTTCGTCGAAGGCAACGACACCACGGGCATGTCTCAAAACAGATCAACAGCCCTGCAGCTCGGCATGAAGTTCAATGGCATGAAGTGAACGAGACGAGACCCATGATTGTCATGCTACCTCTCTGTCTACAGAACTTCTGCTAATAGGCTGCCAATCTGCTCATAGATGACTGCCAAGCTGCGCCTATCTTTGCAGGACCAGACTAAAGCCTGAATCCTCCGGAAGCCCAAACTGAAGCCTTCTTGTTCTTGGAGGCAATGGCTGCATCGCGCTGGGCCAGGGCAACCAAAGCGTGCAAAAGGTAGCGCAGAGGGCGAGTAGCAGGGTGAAGGCATGATTTCCTTATGGGAGTACAGGAGGAGCAAGGTGTCGTGATGACAGATAGATCTGACCATGGAATCATCAAGTTCAGCACCATTGAGCACCCATTCACACATCAATTCCGCGATTCTGTGATCGTGTTGCTGTGAAGCACTCGCTCTCTCCAATCCGAGAGCTAAATGCTGGCTGCTCAAAGCCACTACGACTTCGCAAAGCACCCACCTTCATGGACAGTGTCTTGGGCAGCAGCATGGACAGGATCTGCTTGCCGGTCCTGAAGTAGACTAGTCCGTCCCGCAAGATGAAAACGCACCAGGCTTCGTCAGAGAGAAAATGAAAAATGCCAGATTCCAATGGCCTACTTGTGCATGGGGCCGGGTTCCAAGCAATCATTCTCTACAGATTGGAGCTGATTGCAGCATCTGCGTCTACATGTCAGTTCGTTCCAAGCCCTGCCGCTCCAAAGCATCTTCGGCTTGAGGATCGCTGGAATGGGAAGCTGACCTTGGATTTCTGGCGCTGGAAGTAGACGTGGTCTTGAATTGTGTGTTTCGTGCTTGGGGCTTTCACAGCTCTCCAGCAAGGCAAAGTGGGCACTTTACTGTCAAATGCTGTCAAGAAAGTTGTTGACATCCAGCTTTCGCGATTCTTGTGCCTACTGACCCAGTTGCAGGAAGACTTCTGTTAGCCGCTAAGTCAGCAAGCCTCCCCTGACGCCTGCATCCATCACGCGCTCTTGCACAGGGAGCCCTGCCATCCCAGACGGGCAACCACATGAGGATGTTCATGCAAAGATCCTGGCAGGAACATGCACGCTTGGAAGCCACATGCCGCTCTCAACTGCTGTCAGAGCCAATGTCTGAGGTTGAGCGGAACTGCTCGTCGCGAGTCTGGCGGCGAGCGTCCGGCGGGCCTTCTCCATGTATGTGTCTCGCTTGGTGTACTTCGCCGTCGCTAGAAGACTATCCTGCAGTTGGTCTAGTTGAGCGCTTCAGGCGGTGGCTCATTCCCAGTTGGAACATGCCAGAGCTAATTGCCAACCTCTCAGCAGTTTGGACTCAAGCATTGCCACCTATCAGAAAACAAAGGACCTTACATCCTCCTTCTGCAAAACGGCACGCAAATACCACAATTCCATATGAGGCGGCGTCAAAATTACTTGTTTGTTCTCTCTTGGTTTTTGAATTAGGGCGTCCCCTATCGATTTCCACCTTTTGGGGATCTTCTCTGAACCCTCGCTTAAATGAAATAAGCCTATAGTTTTAGGACGTCCCCTATCGATCTTGGGGATTTTTGCGCAACAACTA